GCATCTGGTCCCAATGAAAATAAATAGGATTTTCTCCTCATATTCCCCTTTATGTTGGCAATGTAATCAGTCAGAGGGATCTCATATTCATGTTTGGTGGAATTGTCTGAAATTAAAGCCCTTTTGGAAATTAATATATAAATATTAGAGAATCTTATAGAGATTCATATGGAATTTTTTGCCTGAAATTGCATTGCTACACCTTGGCTGGCCTAAACTTTCAAAAAGGGATGAATATATGGTTACTCATATCTTGGTAGCAGCACAAAAATGTATCGTAAAACTTTGGAAACAACTTGACCCCCCAATGTGGGCAATGATTAAAGCACAGATTTCTTTTCAACTAAAGATGGAGAGAGAGCCCTTACCTATAACTAAATATGAATGTAATAAATGGAATAGCTTTATTCAAGAAGCATAAGAAAATACATATCCCTAATGTCTAAAGATACCCCTCTGAATGTTATAAGGTTGGGAATAGTACCTCTCAGGGCGCATTCCACCTCCTCCCCATATAGATGATTGACTGAGGCCCAATGTATGTCTTTGTCTTTTAATGTTTAAAAAACTGGGTAGATTGATTTATCTTAGCATAGTGATGTGATGTATTGTATGTATTTTTTCTTTTTTGTTGTGTATTTTTTTCTCTATGAAAAACATTTCAATGAACATTTATATAAAAAAAAAAAGAGAAAAAAGAGAAGACTACTGTGAAGATAAGCATGATATGGAGATAGCAAACCCCGTGCTGTTATATAAAACTCATCCACTATAATCAGTCTCTAGAAAGCAGTTAATATAAACAAGTAAAATTAGCGAATGTTAGACTTTTGAAAGTCGTAGGTGTCTCAGATGACTTTAAATTCCTTTGACCCACCCTGTAATGTTTCATCAAGGTAAACATTTTCTTTTATGCAGTCTGTTTACGCAGTATGACACTAATGCATAGGAATGTTCATTGGATGTGTGATGACAGCACGGCTTCTCTATTTTGCAATGACCAGCGGTTAGTGGATAGACTGGTTTTTAATATAAATGGCATTTAATAGCTATTTTTTTGCAACTTATTCCGATATATAAGAGAGAGGCCACATTTAGAGAATGTCTAACTAGTCAGGTGAAAGTTTCCTGCCATGGTACAGAAACAGGGAAGTCTAATGAAATGTCCATTTCCATATTCTGACCATGAGTATGTGGAGGCACGTCTCTCATTCAGGGTTACCTATTCATTTGACACTGACATTAGTGACCTACAAATGCACAGAGAATGCCACATCCCAGTGCAGTGTGCAATACCATACTTATACCAATGGACAATGAAGAAGCCCACCATAAAGATATGGATTAACTTGCTCACATTAAGTGACCTTAATACATATCTCTCAGAGTCCTGGGTTAGTTCTCCAGTGTCCTGCATCGTGAGATACAAGGACAGCGAGCACCAACACACTTGAATTGTGCTGATCGCTGTCAGGATACTAGGACCCTGTACAGAGAACTTCATCAGTGTTCCAATGCATGTAACATACCTCCCCCCTCCCCCAAAAAAGTTACCTGCGCTCTATCCCAAATCCGTATGCTCATTTAAATATCTTTTTAATATCACTCCAGTGGCCATTAAGATCACCATTAAGTGAGTCCTACACTAACAATTCACCTTGCTTCTTTCTGCTTCAGGTAAAAAAAAATCTCTAATGAAACAGAGAGGGGTATTTTCTAAACCCAACATACAAAAGAGACGTACTTGAAAACAAGAGTAATCTGAATGTACCATTCCTGGTTAAATACTTTGTTATTATTATTATTATTATTATTATTATCTCTTAATATTAACTCTTAATAGGCAACACATGGACTGGATAACAGCATTGTAACATGGCTGTGTGATACAAAAGCAAATACAAATATGCAAAAATTAAGTCATGCACTCAAACTCCAACTACTCCTGGCTGGCAGCAATGACTACAGTACAGATCTGCTTCAACACATACAATTAAAACCAAAGGAAAAAAGTACCCTGCGAACTATCCCGTATTCTTATGCATATTTAAATATTTGTGCATATCTAAATGGTATGCCCCGAGTGGGGCCGGCCAGCCAAAAGGCCTGTCCCCCTTGTCACTTTTCCCTTCCTGGTCTGCCCACCCACCCTCACAGCCACCCACCCCGGACATGGATCCTCTGAAGGAAAAGCTGGGATCTATGATAAGAGACACATGAATTTGGCTAATAACCGTGCAAGTACAGAACTTAGCACATTGGCATCTAGATTACTCATTAATAGTGATGTCCCGAACGGTTCGCCGAACAGTTCGCAGCGGATGGGGAACATATGCGCTGTTCGGTCCGCCCCCTATGTCATCATTGAGTAAACTTTGACCCTGTACCTCACAGTCAGCAGAAACATTCCAGCCAATCAGCAGCAGACCCTCCCTCCCAGACCCTCCCACCTCCTGAACAGCATCCATTTTACATTCATTGTGAAGCTGCATTCTTAGTGAACTGTCCAGGAGGTGAGAGGGTCTGGGAGGGAGGGTCTGCTGCTGATTGGCTGGAATGTGTCTGCTGACTGTGAGGTACAGGGTCAAAGTTTACTCAATGATGACGAATAGGGGGCGGACCGTTCTGCGAACCGTTCGGGACATCACTACTCATTAAGTGTTTTTAACAAGAATAGATGACTGTGTAATTTATTTGCATATTTTATATCATATATTTCTTTAGACAGGGAAATTTGCAGATATATCCCAATTTGATTTACAGCTTTTATATGACCATTCTGTTTTTTTTGTTAGCAATATTGCAAATAAATGCATGTAATCCTTATTCTAAATGGCTGTAAAGTATATGGGTACTTTATCAATAATATTAGGTAACAACATGTACACCTCCAGGCATTTAAGCTAGAACACAACAAGGGCAAAGTGCTCAACCCCAGTCAGAGCTACAACTAACCTGTCACACCATTTTGTATTTCTTGTGTTTAGTGTTAAACATAGCCTTAAGTGGTATAATATAACTTTCTGTTACATTTGTCAAGTTTGACGACTGTCTTGTTCCTTACTGTGCTACTGATTTGACACACAATAATAATTATTTTCAAATCCTTACTTTATTGTGTTTCAAAATAGGACAGAAAGCTATGCTAATGAACTAATTAAGAGAGAATATTTATAATAATTATTTTATCATTTCAAGTGGACAATAGAGGAACACTTTAATTTTAGGGGTGTGGCAGCACCTAGAAATTTTATGTGACTTACTAATAGTAATTTATGCAACTAAAGGGTGATTTAGAACGAAAACAATGAATCTTATTTACACAGACTGTTTTCTAAAGACATTCATTGTAGTTGAAAGACACATTACTGTGAGAATAATTGCTGTGGAGCTCTGTTATACACACAGACACACCAACAATATAAAGGTCCTAGAAGAGAGGAACAGAGGGATTTAGGTCCAAAATAGGAACTGCCCCTCCTAAATAGGAACACTTGGGAGTTATGCAAAAGCAAAGAGACATCCCAATTGAAAGTCCCCAACCTGTACCTCCAATCACAATGTTTATATACCTTAACAAACTAGAACAAGTCATATTTAATGTGAGACCCATGGGGGCTGTAGCTTGATGTTTAGAGCATGGTAGGTAAGAGTTTTATCCTTCGCTAGGAAGCTAGATCCCTCTTCCAGCATACATCTCTATGTACAATAGTTATTGATGAAACTGGGGATGTAGAGCGGGGCTATGGACATCATACGCTGTCTACTCTGACATTAGGCTACAAGGAGAACTATGAGGGAACACAACGTACATATATTATGACCAAATCAGACAGGATATATGGGGAACCTCTGGTTCCGCCATTGCATCTCCTCTTCATGTAGTCCATTTTAATGCTCGGTTTCATGGTTGTCCCTCCCCAGTTCTGGTCAGATATATAACCAAGTATCTAGATGCGACAAATCCTGTGGAGAGACCACAGAATGGTTTGGTTTGTGGATGTAAATGCGCACAGGTGCAAAATATGTAAAAATTGAATAAACTTCATATATGTAAAGGCATGAAACAATATTTAAATTGCTTAAGGTGCCAGCATGACAATTTGTTGTATAGGTGAATATGATGTGATATGTGTAGCAATATAAATTAAGATTAGAAAACAAAATTACAATAGATTGAGTTATAAAAAGCAGCACAAAAAAAACTGATGTAGTAAAATGAAAAATAAACCATAGGAAGAAAGTGCGGTGGTGCGGTAATGAAAAATTAACTGAGATGTTCTGCCTGGATATCTTAAAACTAAAATAAGATTTAAAATAAAAAGTAAAGAAAAAATGATTATTCACTAAAGTGAGTATTTCCAGGAATTTCAAGTGACTTCATTCAAAATTTAGGCAAAAACGGCCAATTTAGAAAGGTTCTCCAAGTGAATCCTGTGTTCAATTTAACATTTTTTGGGGCTTTAAATATGAAATTTACTTTCCATTCATTATGCATTTTTGGCAATTCTCTTTTTAGTGAATATCCCTGACAGCATTTTCTGTTTTGCTTCAGAAATATGTATGTAAATGAATATCATATGCCCTAACTTTGGTGGCTACACACTTGCATGCCAGGGGTTATAGGAAGGGGCACTTCAGAGATGCAATTTGCATTATTAAAAGTGAGGTATGTCATACCAAGCTGACGGACAGGTAGTGCTGCAAATCTGATATTCAGGAGTGAGCATGCTCCCCACTATAGGCAGATATCCCCTGGAATATTATTATATAGAATTGCAGGTGGACACCTAAATCATGTGCAAACATTTCTATAGCGCTCATTGCATATGTACGTGCCTGGCAAGTCGGCTGGTAACCTGTGTATGCCTGTATGCTAATAATGTGTCACTACACTCCCCCTTGACGCAGTGTGAGTCCCTCACATGTCCACTAATAAGGGCGCATTCTATCAAGACCATATTTTTGGGGAGAAAAGTTGTGATGTATGTTGTTTCAACTCAACAAGAAGGAAGGGAGACAGGAGAAGGGACAGGATAAATGATAGTGTCCACTCTATCATTTATCCTGTCCCTTCTCCTGTCTCCCTTCCTTCTTGTTTAGTTTTATAGTGCATTTCACCCCTGCTCAGGAGTAAGATTATCTTCCTCCCGCTTGTTTTTTGTATTGTTTCAACTCAAGCTCGCTCTAGGTCTAGAAGGTATGGTTGTGGTTTAGGATTCCATAGCTATGTATAAGAAAATATGCATACTGTATGGCCAACAGCTGAAAATCTAAAGGTTTTAGTTGCTATAGAAATATTTTTTTATTACTCATGAATATAATTTATAGAACAGAAATTGTTATTTTTGTAAAAAATATTTCAACACATTCATGATGTTGCTTAACTCTCTGAAATGATTAATGACCCATTAAATTTAAATTGCAATTTCACAAGGGCATGTGTGTGCTATGACATATTTTATGATATCTGCTAATGATTGTCAACAAAGGTATGTTACACATTCTACTGAGAATGCTGATATTTAAAGGAGGTATACCTAAATCATACTTGCCAAATGTCTTTATTTTGGAGGGACAATCCTTATTTTGGGTCCATATCTCTCTGTCATCTAAATTAAATTGTTATAGTGCCAGGAGGAACACAGGCGCAATCTGAACTTAAAAGGTTAAACAGCTCTCAAATGGTTTAATCACAAAGTTCACCTCCAGGCCAGCGCTGATCTACCGTTTCTTACAGGTGGCATCCGGCTTCTTAATCTCAGTTACTGGAAGTCTGGAGTGCCGCTGGAAATTAACAATCAGGGTCTGGTGCAGGGTAACCACACTGAGCACCAGGGTTTGTGCAGCCACATACCAGGGCCCTGATGCAGCCTCTGCGGTTCTTAGGAGCTAGATAAGTATCTAGTATCCAGTACTAGAAACAAGGCGAGACTAGAAGAGCACCAAACAAGATAACAAGGCAAGACTAGAAGAACCCAGAACTGGAGCAGGGCAGAAAGCAGAACCCAGAACATGTACACAAGACATGAGGGAAAGCAAGAACAGGACATGGACAGGGCAGGACAGGACTGTACATGAGATGGGAATAAGAGACAAGATAAACAAGGCAAAACAAGGCTATATATGTAATAAACATTGGAGATTTAGACATACATAAATAGCCAAGATGTAAGCAGCCCAGCACTGCGCCAAAGTACTCCAATTACAGTGGGTCCAAACTGCCTAGTTATGCATGACTAAAAGTACAATAATAAAACACACACAGTACTTACCTGCAAGGAAAGGAGCAGAGGAATGAGACCACCTCTAGCAGGAACACACTGAAACATAAAGGATAAATGGCAAAGTAACTGGTGTGGCAACAAAAACAAACATTAAAAGGAATCCAGGTTACTGGGAATTCCAGGAATGGAATAAAGGAATTAACCCAGCATAAAGAAAACCAGACATAGAACAGATGAACAGAAAAACAAGAAAAACAAAACAAAAAGAGTACTGGATACCAGCAGCCATGCCCAGAAATAATCCGCAGACTGTAACAGAATGTGACAATAGGTCCCGAATACTGTCCTTCAAGAAGCACTGGGTTGGACCAGTGATCATCAGAATGATGTTTTCACAGTAAGTGGAGTGCTTGTTATAATAACACTGGTATGGTGCCGGAAACCAAGGAGTTTTAGTGCATTTTTAATGTTTCAAAATATTACGGAGTTGAATTTACATATTAGAAGGAACATTCAAAACTTCATAAATATAAATCTATTTATACTACAGTGTTCATTAAAAATAATATCTACTTTAAGTTAGCAGTCGATCACTTCAAAGTCAAAAAGGAAACTTAAGTGCTGTAATTACTGATTTATGAAAGGCCATGATAACGTATCACAGGTGCCTATGTCATAATAATGCTCAGCACAGCCCATTCTACTGATAAAACCAGTTTTACTAGTTCACTTGCCAGTTTAAAAGACAGTACAAATTAATCACACGCCCTTGTTCTGGGTAAAAAAAGAATCTGGTTTTAACTTTTTTATATTTATTTACTTTTTACTCTAAATTGTCATCACTCTTGCTCTTTAATGGGAACACTCCCTGAGGTTGGATAGTAAATGAACTTTCAAGTGTGACTATTTTGATTCAAGCAAATGCTTTTTGTTTTTTTAAAAAAAAATATTACACACTTAAAGGACAAAGCAAGATGCGTAGTATAGATTTAACATTGCATACCTATAATAATAACAACATGTACATTATTAATATTGAAATAAATGGGCATATTTTAAAATACATTTAAATAATAACAATAAATTAAATAAATGGGCAGATGTAGAGAGTTAGACGACATAAAACAAAAATTGAGTATACTTTTGAAAGTACTTTTAGTATACTTTTATTTGGAGAGGATATCTGTCTGACTTCTCACTTCTCCTCTTTCACATAGACTTGCACAAGTGGGGTAAGTTAATTGCAATTACTGGTTCATATACTACTTGCTCATAAATCCTGTATAGCTAAAACATGAAAACAACAAGGACAACCAATCTGGTATGAAATAATACATTAAAAAAACTGCCAATACATTATGGAAAAGAGATTTCCTGTAATGAACAACCAACTACATCAGGGATAGGCAACCTTTTAGTAGTACTGTGCCAAATGGAGATTTTGAAGTGCCTTGGCGTCTAGGCACTTTTATTTTTAAATGGAGGTGTTTATGTTGCCGTTTTCTGCCTGTGTTATTTGTGGGTGCTGCAGTTGCTTTGTAAATTGTATAGAATATGTTCATGAGTAGTTGGTGGCATTGTGTATGATACCTATGAATGTAGGCTGTGTATGGGGTCTGTTTGTGACAAATTTTGTGTGGATGATGTCACATTGTGTGTTTGGTGTGTGTATATGTGTGTTTGTGCGTGCATGTGGATAGTCTGTATTGTTGTGTTTGTGGGGACTGTGTGTTTGTGTGTGGACTGTTTCTATTATTTTTATAGGTGGGTGGCTTATTCTGCAGCTCTGTGTATATCTATCAGTGTGACGGACTTCCCTGGGTCCCTTTAGGGACTTGGCTAGTCAGGTACAGGTCAAGAGCAGGAGCTGTTATAGCTGCTGCGGGTTGTTCTACTCCAAAGGGAGGTTTTGTTCAGCAGTGCTGGGATATTGTGATCTGAGATCACTTCCCCTAAATGCTGCAATGTGTAAATTGAGGATTGGTTTTCACAATCTGTAATCACCTCTCGGTTTGCACTGAGGACTCCTGATAGGCCGTGCCTGTTTGGCTCTGGTAGCCTTAAGTGCCGTTCAAAGGCACCCTGAGTGCCATGCATGGCACATGTGCTTTAGGTTGCTGACCCCTGAACTAGACATCTATACAAAGATCTGTCAGAATTGGGAATCCTTGCCTTTGTCAAAAGAAAATAATTATATTTCTCTCTCCTCTACTTAAACACTTTCAACATAAACCCTTCTATACTGGGGGGCGGGGCCGGGCGGCCATGCTAGCAGGCTGCAAGTCACTATGGCTCCTGAGGAATTTAGCTAAAATCGGGCAAATCCCCTCTCAACTCAGCTTGATACACCCTGGAAAGCCGTGGTACAAGATCCTGGAGTGTCCCGGTGCAGCTAGAGCACCTGACATTGGGTGGTTCTGGGTCCCGGTGAGATGCTCTGGGGCTTGGAGACTGAGGCCTACACGGGGGGGGGGAGTGGAGCAGACGGCCGCTGCTTTGCTTTTCCCCCCGGCTGCAGAGAACCACAACGCGACTGGAGCACTCTCGGCCCCGTTCACCCCCCCCTTTGGACCGGTGGGGGTTATCCCGGTCCCCACCAGGCAAGCAAACACCCACAAGGCACTCCTGGGCGACGACTGCCACGCGGCCTCAACAAAATGGCCGAACGTGCTGTAACTGCCCCACAGGCCACTGGAGAGGAGCCGCGCAGACCGCGCTAACTAAGAACACCTTATCTCAGCCTCCTACTACCAAGACCGCAGACCATCACTGGGGTAAGGCACTGAAAAGCTGTCCCCTTGAAAAGCTGTCCCCTTGAAAAGCTGTCCCCTTGTAACAGCTAGGTCGCACCGCTACCCGCACCTGGACAAGGTGATCTGGTCAGCACAAGACCTGCACTCACCCCACGACGGGGTCACACGACCGCATCGACCTCCGGACACTGTGCCCTGCAGCGTGTCGTCGGGATCCAGTGGACTTGGAGAGACCTGCGGGGTGTATCCCCATGCCTAAGAAGAGGATGCCTACTAATAAGCTTCCATAAAGTAAGCAAACGGAAGACATGAAAGGCACAAACCGCAGAACTCACCGCAGGCAGCCTCACCAAGGGACACTTTGGCAGCATTCACCGCTACATGGAGGGACATATATTCTAATAATGTTACAGTCAAACCTGCAATACACAGCGGTCTCTAACACCCTGATTCTTGCAGTGGATAACCCAATGTGCCATGATCTGCCTGATGGTACTCTATTGTACTCTATTCTACTTTCTTTTACTGCATTTTACTTTACTTTATCTGAATAATAGCCCTGGCTAAGATACTTGTATAAAAACGTCTGTACACTTGCCTGCTTATCATATAATTGCACTAATTACACACCCAGCTACAGACCCCAAGCAATTTATTAGCTAGTTAGAATGAGGTTCTATTCAGCATGTTATTAACCTAAGTCAGACATATTAACCTCTTGTAATCATAACCCATGCTAATGTAACTCGTACTTACTAACATTCTGATCTAAGCAACATTACTTTAACATTTCAAAATGTGCTGATAATCTCAATGCTCCAACTGTTATGCCTGAAAATTATGCTCGGGGAATGCTATTGGGGCACCACGAGCCTGTATGTTATTTACTCAAAGCACGATAAAAATAAAGAATTAAAAAAAACAAAAAAAAACAAAAAAACCCTTCTATACTAGGAAAGATAGTAACTGAAAGGTGACTAAGGTGGATACTCTTAGTAGTACAAGGTTGCTCCTCTCATATCAGGGTGAATGATGGATGAATGTGGAATTTGTATGATTTGTATGTATTTATGTTCCTTACTTGATTAAGTGACTTAGATACAGTTGAATTATTTTTATATTTCAATCTATA